ACATCGCATGCATGGTCCTGGTGTGCCAAGATGACCGACGCATGCGCAGGAGTTACAACATCTTGCACCAGCCAATGGAGATGCCGGAGAGGGAAGCCCATGTACTGTACTTGGGACAATAGAGGGGAGCTGAGTATAGTGACTTTAGATCTACTTTAATTCTGAACTAGTGACCTATGTAGGGCTTTTGTATTGTCACCTATTGGCAATTTTGGGTACCAAAGTTTGTCTCCGTTTCAGAGGCACACACAGTTTTAACTAATTGCCGCCCGGCCTATGGCCAAATGGCGGCCGGGTAATCACTTCGGCCCTCCAGTGGCGTCCTTTCCGGATCATGCTTTGCGTGTGCCCACAGGGCCGTGTAATTGTGAGATCTGTCACCGGCCATGTACCTCGGACACGGCCGATGACAGATCTGTGTACCGGCCCTGCTGCCAGTAACATGTGACCTGCTGTGACCAATCACAGCAGGTCAGATGACAGTTGTATACAACGTATGGCTTCCTTTCATGCCATCCATTGTATACAAGTGTGTCTAGCTGTGAATGGTCACAGCGATCACATGCACAGGCTGGGACAATCACAGCCCATCTGTGACATTTCATTGGTCGTGGCCAATCACAGCTAATCGCAACAAAAAAACCTGAATTAATTGATTTAATTCAGTTAAATGCTTGCTTATAGCAAAGACATTCTTTGCTATAAAAAAATTGAAAAAAAAAAAAAAAAAATCTATTTATTTTTTTTGTACGGTCACCAGTCAGTGTCCCTGATCACCACCACACCAGTTATATGCTGACGCTGTACTGCACTGTTGACAGTATGTAAAAAAAAAAAAAAAATTGTGAAAATATTTTTTTCAATTTCTTAATTTTCCAAAAAATTTACAAAAAAATTACAACTTAAAAAAACTCGCCATGCCTTTTATGAAATAGGTTGAACTATCTACTTTGCAAAAAGGGGTCATTTGGGGGATATCTGTACTGTTCTGACATTCTTGGACCTCAAGAAATTAGATTGGCTGTCAGTACTTCAGGATTGATCAATTTTCAGATATATACCATAGTTTGTGAACTCTAACTTTCCAACAGACTAAATAATAAATAAATACTGATTTGGGTTATTTTCACCAAAGAAATGTAGCAGAATAAATATTGGCCTACATTTATGAAGAACAATTATTTGCCAACTTTTATAACAGAAACAAAGAAAAACGTGTCTGGTTTTTTTTTTCTAACTTTTCGGTATTTTTTTGTTAATTTAGCAAAAAATAAAAACCCCTGTGGCGATTAAATACCACCAAAAGAAAGCTCTAGTTGTGTGAATAAAATGGTACAATTTTAGTTTTGGTACAGTGTTGCATGACCGCGCAATTGTCATTCAAAGTGTGAGAGTGCTGAAACCTGAAAATTGGCCTGGGCAGGAAGGGGGTAAAAGTGCCCGGTATTGAAGTGGTTAAGACTTGACATGTTTGATATCCATTTACTCAACAAAATCCAATCCTTTATATTTTACCCAAAATTGAGTAATATATTGCATTTCTGTGCAGAAAATCTAAAACTGTATTCAGAAAATATACAGTATATCGGGAGGGGGGAGGTGTTACATAATCTTCAGGCCTAAAATGTGCATTTAACATATGTGCAAAAAAAAAAAAGGAAATGGCTTTGGCAGTGAAAGGGTTAATGCCTTTCAATAGTTACAATATATTTCAACATATACAGCGCTGTTTTACAAGTGCAGAGCTTCTCATGTGCAGTTCCTAAGCCTGCAGAAATTTGAGTCACTGTGAGTCACCCTAGAGAGGCCATGTCATGACGTTCATGGTGGTGATGAGCTGTGTGTTCTAGTGAGGTAATAAGAATTTTTATTAATAAATGTGGACTGATATGTATGACAGCAATGTATATACCCGTGTTTATAGAACTCGATGTTTCAACTTCCTGTAGTTACTTTGTATAATGTTTTCTTGGTATTGTCTAATACCCAAGTATTTACATAATCCATAAAAAATACTTCTAGCCATTGAACGCTGACATTTTATTATACTTAGCAGCTGCCAATCCAAATTTTAACTGTTTGTAAACCTCAGACATGAAATATGAACAAAGCATATCCCTCTATAGTGTGTACTTGTCTCAATCAAGAGCACTAAGTGGCACTTCTATCAGCTGCTTTGTTTCTCTGCTATCAGCAGGAGTTACTTTTGACAAGTTTTCCTGACACCACAGGGGTGTGGATATTTTATAAAAAAAAAATTCTTGTCCAAGGGACTCAATTGGGGCCCCAATCTACTTATCCCTCATGACAATCTACTTGTCAAGATTAACCAAAACTGTATTTAAATCGAAGGTGATAATAGGAATTTTAAAAACAAAATGGGTTTTATGGCGACTTAAACGTTTAATATTTTTAACATTGCGCTGTTTATCTCCTCCTCCCCTCCCTGCTTGTCTCCAGCACCGCACCCGGGGACTAGCAGGGAGAAGAGAGACCTTGCAGTGTAATGAGCACTGATTGGCTGCTCGTCAGGAAAGGGTGGGTCAGGGCTTGTCCTTTATCCCTTTCACTGCCAGAGCTGTTTTTGCATTTTTTGCACAAGATTAAAAAAAAATAAATTTAGGCCTGAAGATTACACAAAACCCCCAAACATGATATATTTTCTGAAATCAAAGACTGTAGAGAATAAAATAGTGGTAGTTCCAATTTTGTTGTATGATATTACTGCAAAATTTCAGTAAAAATACAAGTTAGTTAATTTTAGGGCACAAAAAAAGCAATAAATTACCCTTTTTTTGGGGGGGGAATAAAGATTTTACATAAATAAGTCGATAAAAGCTGATCATTGTAAGCATCTCAGTCAGTGGTAAATGGTTTGTCTCATTCCTGTAACTGATACATCTGCAAGAGAGCAGACTTACTGGCTGGATCACAAGGTGAAAATAAAGCAAAGAGCCTAAAAAAGAAAACTAATGCAGCCATTGCATCTAAGAATTGTTAAGCTGCAATATAATAAATGTTTGCTTTTGGGTTTAATGTTGCTTTCATTTAAAAAAAATTTGCAGGTCACGATTCATTTTAGAATACATTCTTACACTTCAGTCACACCGCTGCGATTTAAAATCGCGTGAGTTGTGTGCAATTTCAGCACAATTTCAGGTGTGATTTCTGAAGACTTTATTGCAACTTTTGAAGATTTTATGCGATTTCTTGCAATTTGCAGTGCGATTTCCATTGTATTCTATGTATGTGAAATTGCAAAAACAAAACTGCAGAAATAGTAATGCAAGAAATACTTTAGAAATCACGCTGCAGCAAATCGCATATGTTAAGACACTGACATTCACATTCATTAGATGCGGTTTCAGGTGTGATTTCAATTCTCAAATCACATCGGTATGACCAGGGATTTAAAATAAGTCTCCAAGTCAGGAAGAATTGGACATTTTTTTTTTTTTTTCAGAGGTCGTTGGTTTTGCTTTTTTGATCTATAAGGCCTTTTGCACACTGCAGCCTGAAAACAGTCAGTTTTCAGGCACACAGCTTTTTTTTTTTTTTGTCCTCTACTGAACTAAAATGTACACACAGGTGAGTAACCAAGCACTGAGTACTTACAAGTAAAAAAATGATGCAAAAATCTGAGTTCACAGGCAGTATTTTACACCAATATGCGCAAAAACGTCTAACAAACACCACACAATCCAAAAATGCTGATGCTCAAACATCAGTACTGTGTGCAAGAGGCCTTAAGAAGACTTTTAGAAAGTGAAAAACCTGATTCAGTTGGTCCCTTTTTTACTGGCAGTATTTTTTACAGATGTTTTCTTTAGATCATAGTATTACTCTCTTTCTAAAATGTTGCGGAGTCTGGGCCCTTCCTAGCAAACCAGGTGAAACTTTTGGTGAAAGATCTGATACAGATAGAATATTTTGATGAAGGTCCTGTAAAATGTTTACAAAAGGTTTTTTCTAGACCACATTTTCTCTTTTTCTAAAATCTTGCTCAGTCTGAACCCTTTCTTGCCAACCAGGTGAAATGTTTAGCCTCTACAGCCAGAAGGAAAATCTAGGTTCCAAAACGTTATTTATAATTGGGGGGGATTTGAATTTTTCAAGTAAAGCTATCATTCTAGAAACCTGGAGGTCCCCATAGTTGACATGTTTTTGAAAATGCCTGGCTGTATTATGCTGACCTACAGGGCTTCAATACTTCTTAATCAGTGATCTGGAACCAGTGTGCAGAAAAAGAGAGCGAGAGAAGTGTCAAAAGACCTCATCTTCATACTAATTTATATTTGTATCATAAGTATTGATAGGTAAAGTAGTTGTTTTGGATTTTCATTGATATTTGGGCAATAGTCTACACAAGTGCTCAGAAAGTGGATGGCAGGGTAAGGAGCAAGTGTGGTGAGTTTGCCTACATTTATTGGGATATGCTGCATCTCCTGGGCCTCAAACATTTTGAGAAGTCACCCAACTTATGGTAGAACATTTGTTTTTTAGGTTTATAGGCGAGTTTCCCCAACTTCAGGAACAACAAAAATGCTATGTGAAGAGAGGAGAGCTCTTAACCACTTGCCTACCGGGCACTTATACCCCCAGCTCCTTACCAGGCCAATTTTCAGCTTTCAGCGCTGTGCACTAGGCAGCACTAAAGGGCACTGATAGGCAGTACTAATGAGGGCACTGGCACGGATAGGCGGCACTGATAGACAGCACTAATGAGGCGAGTAGGTGGCAGGTGGCACGGATAGGCAGCACTGATAGGCGGCACTGATAGGTGACACTGATGATGGGTACTGATAGATGGCACTAACTGGCATCACTGCTGGGAACTGACTGGCACAACCGCTGGGCACTGACTGGTGGCACTGACTGGCAGCACTGGTGGGCGGGCACTGGTGGGTGGGCACAGGTGGGTGGCACTGCTGGGCACAGGTAGGTGGCACTTCTGGGCACAGGTGTGTGACACTGCAGAGTGGCACAGGTGGGTGCACTGCTGGGCACAGGTGGGTGCACTGCTGGGCACAGGTGGGTGCACTGCTGGGCACAGGTGGGCGGAGCTAGTGGGTGCACTGCTGGGCACAGGTGGGCGGAACTTGTGGGTGGCACTGCTGGGCACCGATCATCAGGGCACTGATCATCAGTGCCCTGATGATCGGTGCCGATCCTCGCTCTGACAACTGCCGGTTCTCAGCAGTACTTTCCTCACGATCTGACAGCGTGAGGAAAGTGCAGCCGAGAACCGGCACTTGCATTTCCCTGTGATCAGCGTGTCATTGGACAGGAGAGCGCGTTCTGGGGGGACGTCATATGACGTCCACCCAGAACTGGCCGGCCGCAGTGAAGCCGTCATTTGGCTATCTGCGGTCGGCAACTAGTTTAAGTGGAACTTTAGTGTAAGGCACCATGCACACTGGGTGTTTTGATGATGCTGGTAACATTAGTTGTGTAAAGTCACATTAAAAAATTTGAGTTTTTCAGATTTTTTTAGTGTTTTTGCATTAGCGTTTAGCAGAGTTTTCCCACATTTGTTTTAGCGTTTTTTTTTACCAAAAAAAAATTATTTTTTGATAAACAAAATTCCAAAAATGCCAGTTTGCAGCGGTTTACCGTGTTTAGAGTGTTTTTACAGCTAAAAAACTCCTCTAGAAACCCACTAGTCCTAGGGTTTTTTCCAGCCAAAAAACGTCCTTGCCAAAAAACGTTGATTAGTCTATGTATGCATGAACACATAGGATAACATGCTGGGGGGGTTTACTGGCTGTAGAAAAAAAAATCATCAAAAGCCAAAAACAGCAGCTGTAAAAACGTCCAGTGTGCATGAGGACTAAATGTACAAATTGTGAGAAGGAATGCTTTTTTTTGTTGCAGAAGAGACATGGTATGTATCTTCAGCAATAAAGAATTCTTGCTGTTCTTCTTGAACTGCACAGTAGTGGTGCATGTGCTGGGATTAGGGAAATCTAGAGTTAGAACATCACAGTTTGGCAAATCAACATGGCCAAAGGTCACAATTCTGAAAGAAGCTGTCAACAAGGGAGCTCGGAAAAGTCACATCATTAGAGAGTAGGTGAGCATAGTCCCACTTTTAGTTTAAAAGACAAGTGTACATGTAGCAAGCAAATAACCAGGACCCAGGTCTGAACCTGTTTCCTCTGAGACGAGGTCTCTTCTTGCTGAGCTACCTGGGATGCTGGACAGTTCCCGGGACATTTCCTTGAATGATCTTGCCTTGGACCTTGTTTCTCTTGAACATTGAATCCTTTAGTCCTCCCATGACATTTCTATTTCAGCCATGCCTTTGCACTGCCTATTTGCCAGATTATGCTCTCTCCAGCCAATATCTCGCTCCTGTCACTCCTGCTGTCCGTATACCAACTTCTACTCATTACCGAATTTTGACTTGTTTCTGGACTACGCTTCTGCTTGATCACAACCTGCAACCACTTGTTATTGACCTTTGCTTTGTATACTGACTATGCTTCTGCTCGATCCCTACCTGCTATATCTACTGCTGGACCTCTCCTTGCTCACCTCCTGGTGGGGCGAACCTGAGGACCCGCAACCTGGTTCTAACATGCAGTAAAACCCATTTTCATCACTATCAGGAGCTCTGTTGAACACTGGTTAGTGCCAGGGGCGGACTGACCATTTGGAAACTCGGCACTGCCCGAGGGCCCAGGGTCAGTAGGGGGCCCCATGAGATGCCCCTGGTACCTTTTTCATAGGCTTTTTTGGATTTGGGCAAGGACACGGGCCCCATGATCCCCTATTGCCAGGGGGCCCCATGAGATGTCAGTCCGCCCCTGGTTAGTGCATAGACTCCACGCCTTGGGTGGACTGGAGTCATCCACCACCTGCTGCACGTAACCAGCTGGTTGGTGGAAACCTTTCTACTGCTATAGCTACTGGTCTCTGAGCCTGACCATGACACTTACAAGGGTACATGTAATAAGCCTAGTAAGTAAGTGTAGATGTTTCTTTTTTTTTTTTTAATTATAGTGAATGAGTGTTCCACCCTATCAGGTGCTGGTGGTGTAGTTCTATAGTTCAAGAAATTGGGGTTTGATTCCAAAAGTGTAATTTTGAGAAAATCCAAAGTATTCAAAAGGTAAGTTCTAGAGATCTGTCAGGGGATAACAACATGGAGCCTTTGATTTTTCAATGTGTTAAATTGTTGAATGCAGATTTCATAATTCAACCAAAGGCAGACGTTATCTTAAATAAGACATTTAAAAGTTTCTCAGTGTCACCAGTTTATTATCTACAAACAGAAATTAAATTTGTAGTTTCAGATTTGGGTCTTGAACTATCTAAGGAATGGCAAGTTTAACATTGATTTATTTTCATCTGTGTTATATATGCACAGTTCCATCAAACAAGGTGATTGGTACATGACACGTTTTATTGCTGGGAAATAGTTGATGGCAGTTTCTTTTCACAAGGGATAGAATTTACTGGGCTTTCTTTCGTATAGTTGGATATTATACTGTTTTCTCCTGTAGTTATAGGGCAGCTCTTTAAGACAGTTGCCTCGAGCATGCTAAGCTCTAAGCCACTTACTGTTGATCCAGTGTGGTTTATGTGCAGAGAATAGAACTGTTTATGTAAAAAGAAATCTTGGTGCAGAATTTTAATCTGGTGTTACCCCTTCTAATCTTTTGGCTAAATCTCTGTATGTTAAATCTCATGTGCTAGAAATGTAAAACAATGATTTTATTCAATTTAACAAAGAAGGTTTTTACAATGATAAAAATAAGGGGAAGAGTTTTATCTTCTATTATGCTGTTTTTATGTTATTTGAGCCCTTTGGGGACATTTCATCTGACATCCTGCTCCAGTGATCCCTGTCAGGGTAACAGAAGGGGAATTCTCCCCAACAGGGATACATACAGCAGTAAAGACCTCACAGGTACAGAAGTCCTGACCTTACTGTGCCAAAAATGTTAAAGCTGAACTCCAGGTATGATATGTATTGCATACTTACATTGATCTAGCTTGGTCCAATGTAAGTATGCATATCTCTACCGAACGGGCCACTGGAGAAGTGGACAATCACTGTAGGTGTCAGCTGAATGTCCTGTGATTTGCATTGAAAAAAATGACAAGGCATTTTGTAAATGGCGGCAGTGCCAAGGAGAGAAGCTGCTCGACCCGGGGCCAAAAAGCTTGTGTGATCATTGTAGTAGCACCAGCTACTACAGTGATTGTCCGCTTCACCAGCAGCCCTTCGGGTATGAGATCTGCATACTCGCCCCTCCATAAAAAAGTTAATGGAAATCCCATAGGATGAATGATACTAACAATATGCTATCCTGAAACATGTATTCTGGGTCCCCATTTGGGGTTCTTTTGCACAGGTTGTCTTCTGCTTAGATCCAACCTATAGCCGTATGTTTTATAAAGGCCTGTTTCACAAGGACTTCAGCTTGTATAAGGCTATGTTCCCACCTATGCAGTTTTCTTTTGATCCGTTTCTGCAGTGGTTTTTTGAAGTAGGTTTGCTTTTTTGCACACGCCCTTTTGACTGATTTTTCATACATTTTCTTAAGTGTTTTATGATTTTTATGCTTTTTTTTTTGGCCAATTTGTTGTTTGGACATATTAAAAAACGCACAACGCATCAAAAACGCACTACATGCTTTTTGGCAGCGTCTCCATTGAAGTCTTTTGAACCAAAAACTACAGTTTTTCATTTTAAAAAGTCACTGACCCTTTCCAAAAACTGCAGCAGCTGAAAAAAGCATACAGTTGCAAGAAAAAGTATGTGAACCCCTTGGGTTTACGTGGAGTTTTGCATGAATTGGACATAAAATGTGCTCTGAACGTCATCAAAGTCACAACAATAGAACACAGTCTGGTGAACATAATACTACACAAACATTAGATGTTGCCATGGTTTAATTGCACATAACATGTAAACATTCACAGTGCATGGAGGAAAAAGTATGTGAACCTTTGAACTTAATAACTGGTTGACCCTCGTTTGGCAGCAATAACCTCAACCAAACGTTTCCTGTAGTTGCAGATCAGACCTGCACAACCATCTGGAGTAATTTTGGACCACTCCTCTTCACAAAACTGTTTCAGTGTAGCAATATTCTTGGGATGTCTGGTGTGAATCGCTCTCTTAAGGTCATGCCACGGCATTTCAATCAGGTTGAGGTCAGGACTCTGACTGGGCCACTCCAGAAGGCGTATTCTGTGCTGTTGTAGCCATTGTTTTGTTGAATTTTGTATGCTTTGGGTCATTGTACAGTTGCATCACCCATCCTCTGCGGAGCTTCAGTTGGCGGACAGATGGTCGTACGTTTTTCCTGCAAAATGTCTTGATAAACTCTGGAATTCATTTTCCCATCAATGACAACAATCCGTCCAGGCCCTGAGGCAGCAAAGCAGCCCCAAACCATGATGCTCCCTCCGCCATGTTTTACAGTAGGGATGAGGTTTTGATGTTGGTGTGCTGTGCCTTTTTTTCCCACACATAGTGTTGTGTGTTCTTCCCAAACAACTCAATCTTGGTTTCAACTGTCCACAGTATATTTTGCCAGTAGTGCTGTGGAACATCCAGGTGCTCTTTTGCAAACTTCAAACGTGCTGCAATATTCTTTTTGGACAGCAATGGCTTCCTCCGTGGTGTCCTCCCATGTACTCCATTCTTGTTTAATGTTTTCCTTATTGTAGATGTGTCAACAAAAAATGTTAGCATGTGCCAGAGATTTCTGTAGGTCTTTAGCTGACACTCTGGGATTCTTCTTTAGCTCATGCAGCATTCTGCGCTGTGCTCTTGCAGTCATTTTTACAGGACGACCACGCCTAGGGAGAGTAGCAACAGTGCTAAACTTTCTCCATTTGTAGACAGTCTGTCTTACCGTGGACACATGAACATCAAGGCTTTTGGAGATTTTTTTTGTAACCCTTTCCAGCTTCATGCAAGTCAACAATTCTTGATCGTAGGTCTTCTGAGAGCTCTTTTCTGCGAGGCATGGTTCACATCAGACAGTGCTTCTTAAAACCAGTAAACCCAAAACAGGTGTGTGTTTTTTAAGGGCAGGACAGCTGTCAGCAACACATCCAATATCATCACACTGATTGGAGTCAAGGTTGGCTCACTCCTGGCTCCAAATAGCTCTGGGAGAAGTCATTAAGCTAGGGCCTCACATACTTTTTCCTCCATGCACTGTGAATGTTTACATGTTATGTGCAATTAAACCATGGCAACATCTAATGTTTGTGTAGTATTATGTTCAGCAGACTGTGTTCTTCTATTGTTGTGATTTAGATGACGTTCAAAACACATTTTATGCCCAATTCATGCAAAACTCCACGTAATCCCAAGGGGTTCACATACTTTTT